ATTACAGTGCTGCCTATAGCAACTGTGTGCTTTTAACCAGGTCAAGTTATATACAGATACTTGCCAAGTATCCTCCCTGAAAGCTGAGACCAGTAATAAACAGAAAAGCTTTCAAAAAATTTCATTACTTCTTTACTTCTAGGCTTCTGCTTGTAAATTCAGTCTTCAGCAATTTCCAGTTGACTTTCTTCCCCACTGCTCAGAGACTCTTCATCCATCCTGCAGCTATTTGTTTTTGTTTCCTGACTAAACCTCTTCCTCTCACTTCCTCTCTAGCTCCTGTGGATTCTAAACCACATGGTTGAGTACAGAATAACTGGAAATGAACTCCCCAGTTTAGGATTTATGCCTTATTTTTTCTGTATTGGTAAACAGGACTATTACAATTTACTTTCTTGTCCTTTTTTCTGTATCTTTACTTTCTCTGGAATTAAATTGTGGTAGTATACAAACTAATTATCTAATGTAAGGGCTCTTGGGTAGTCCAAGCTCCTTCAGAGCAGCACTTATTCTTGAGTTGGTGTGTACTTCATTGTTATAACATACTACAGGATGGAGAATCTTTATAAATCATATGGATTAACAAATAATTTAAGAAACTGCTGGTTTAGGTACTCTTTAAAGTCAATGTACAGTATCATGTTGTAGTTTAATAAGAAGGAAGTAAATCCCTGTGTAAGTTAGCTTTAGCTGTAACTTCTATATCAGAAGGGGTTAATTTGTCCAAATTATGAATTAATAGCAAAAGGAGTGTTTGGATCCATTCTAGAAACATCGTAAAGTGTGTGGCTTATGTGATTCTGATTCTGTGATTAGACAAATTTGTGGGCAAAACAAAATACGATGGCAAAACATTCCTGTACTTTCTTGTAATTGTTAGTTTGTTCTGCCCTTTTTCTACCACAACAGACATGAACAGAGGAGAAGAAACAAAGTTCAGAAACTGTTTTATAAAAAGCCCAAACAAACAAACAAAACAAAACCAAAAACCAAAAATGGAAAGCAAGTCTTCATCAGTGTCTTCTTTACAGTTAGTTTGTGAAGTGATACTTGATACTCATCAGATACTCAGTATTTGGGTACCAGATTGATCTGAATCTGAAGATACAATTATCTAATCTACTTTCATTATTGGTATCTTGGCCATGCACGGTTCTAACTCTCTTCAAGGTTCAGAAAAGTGCTTTTGTTTGTAGGGAGGCTGACATCAATCCTGAAGCATTGAAAACAAGAGAGATTTTATCAATAACTGGATGACAGGAGTGTGATTAGTTCCACTGGTGCAAACTTTACTTAAAAAAAAAACAAACAACCCTAAATTACAAACCTGGTTGATAAAGTTCATTAAATGTTTTTAAGACTACAAATGTGTTATTAAGAGATCATAGTTTGGTAAAAATTGTCATGTATCAGTAGTCATAAATCATACATTAAATTTACTAAGATTTTGATAAAAATTAGTCCTTAAAATAACTGTCACTAAATGGATAGATTGTTATCACACAGAAACACTCTTAGTGAAATTAATAGGCCTGAATATTTTAAAGTAATTTGAAATTTCAGTAATTTTTTTTTTTCCCTCAGTTATCTGAAAGTAAGCTAAAATCATTAGTGAGAAAAATCTGCTGGGTAATGGCATTCATACATAATGGTGCAGATCTTTTCATAACTTTGTTATGAAAATGTACATTTGCAGACATTAAAAACTCATGCTTAAAAAAGGAGGGGTATATATCTGCAAAATATAACTGTGTTCTAGCCAGTGACTTTGAAAAGAGTTTAGAGGTCAAATAACTGTAATGACAGAGTAAAAATGGCTAATGCCGTATGGGTACACCTTTCTGCTCTTTTGCACTGAAACAGTTCAGTGGCTACACTTTTGTAAGTGTCCAATGGAATCACAGTAAGCGATCCAAATCACTCCAGTTTTGGATTGTTTCGTAGCCTGAAAAAACTTGATGGATTCATTTCTAAGGTGTGTGGAACCTTTGAATTACCTCTTACAAACTTATGAGCCATACAGAAAAACAGCACCCCACTTCCCCTGCTGCCCATTTCCCCTTTTCTCTCCCATTATGAGAGAGACACGCCATTTGAGAACCTGTCAGAATAATGTGTACAATTCTAGTTGCCTATGTTCAAGAAAGGTTAGCACAGAAGAGAACTGGTGCACCAGAATGCATGGAATTGCTGGTTGTGAGAACAGACATCTCTTCTGAGCAGAAACTAAGAGCAGGGAGCAGTTGTGGTCAAGAGGGATTTACTGAGGAGGTTGAAGGTGGCTGCAACTTCCCCTTCCCACCTTTAGCATTGCTTGTTGAAGGACATGCTCTTAGACACGTGATGGGGGAACAGCTATGCAGCTCTTCCATAGTTGCTTTATTTAAGTGAAGCAGGAAGAAAAACCCAGACAAGGAAAGACTGATTTAGATTAAAAGGCAGCATTTGTGCAAGAACAAATGTCCGTGAACATGTTCCAAGTTCATACACATGACTTGTCAGCTTTAAACCTTGTCAGAGCAAGGTTTTAGAGCAATTTGATGGAAGGGTTTGTATGATATACTTGCTTATGATAATAAGGTATTGGACTTAATGTTCTGGGGATCTCCTGAAGCGCAAGGTTTTGATGAAAGCTTGCATCTATGAGAAGTTGTTTCAAATTTTTTATAACTGATTACAATCAAAGTTTATTCCCTTGCCTCTTAGAATTCTGGAGTCTGTTTGTTAAGGCTCTGCTTTTTCCTCTATGGATTCTTACGGAGACCTGTAAGGATTGTGGAAATTGCTAATTTATTTTTCTTGAAGTTTTTAAGAAAACTATTGGAAGTGAAAGGAACATGCTCTGTAGTAGAAGTGTCCAAATCCATGACTGTACCATTTTTGTAGTAACTTTTGTTACAGCTATAATAGGCAATAGCTTAAAAGAAGCAGATAAAGTCTGGGTTGGGTTCTGAATGCCACTCTCCTTATCCTGAAAGAACACATGGGGGAAGATGCCTTTCCCCCCTCCCCCCCCCCCCCAAAGTCCTCTAAACTCTGACAGGCTGCCAGTGCTGAGCTCTACCTGTTCTTAAGTATTTGTTAATTATGTGGGTTTTGGAGGTTTTAGAAAATCAAGTTTTCCCCCTCCATTAACTGGAAATTCAAGAAAGCATCCTCCTTCAAGAAAATACTTAAGCACATGCTCATTCACCATTCAGATATTAAAATGCAGGTGAATCGCTATGCCTGTGAGATAGTCAACTGTAGATCTTGCTTGAAAGCCATGTAGTTGCTATGTTCAATTAAAATGAAGTTTTGCTTCATTTGGAGGGGAAAGAGAGCAACCTTTCACATACATTTTTATAAAATACATACATATACACACACAATTTTATTGAATGGCTTTTTGTCTTCTGTCAGCTAATTTTGACCTAGATGTACTTTTCTTTCTAGATTAAAAAGAGAAACTACATCCTTTGATGTCAGGTAAACTCATGCATGCTTTACGGGGGGGGGGGGGGGGGGGGGGGGGCTGATGAAGGAAGTGCTTTCCTGTAGCACCTGTTTTCTCAGCTGATAAATTCTTCTTGATGCAGGTGGTAACAAGTTGTATATTTTTAAGGTTTGTCAGGATCCTCATCTGTTAGGATTTTAAGTTCAGAACTGTGGGAAATGGTTCTATGATGGTTTAGGGTTTCTTAGTGCATCTTAGTTGATGGTTCTTTTAATAGCTATAATGTTAAATCAGATAACTTGGTTAATCTGTCAGAATTGGAAATGTGTTCTAAAAAGGGTATAGGTTATTAAAAATTTCTGATGCAATAAACATTTACTCCTTTAAATGTTCTGCAATTCATGCTAGATGGTTTTATTTTAATGTGCCAGGAAATATAAATACAGAAATAGCTACTGGAATTTGATGGCTCACTAACACACAAACTTACTGAATGGGTTAAAGCAGTTGAGCTTGATGCCAAATATTGTGAGTATCTGTCTATGATGGTATTCATGTATGATGGAATTGATTACGTTGATGTTTAGCAGATTCTGATAGCACATTTTGACATGTTTTCTAAAAAATATGTATTGTCTGCACTGTGTTAGGAAACTGGGTACTTGTAGATACTATTAATATTTTTTCATGCAAGTTCTTTTGGCTACATGATTACAAATAATGAAGACTGAGTTAAGGGTAATTATGTTTTTTAAAAGTTTAATAGATGAAATAATGGGAAGAAAATTAAGTAGTTATAGTTATTTAAAAGCCCAGTGCAGAACTGGATTAGGATTTGTAGCAGAATAATAAAACCAAATAGAGAAACTTGTATCTTTTGCTGCAGTTATGTGAAGATCACTTCTGTAACTGGAATAAAGGCCTTGTCTTTTCCAAGATGCATAGAAATCTTGTCCATACTCAGTAACTTTCGGATGTTCTGGACACATTAGGGTTATTGCATGTGCATAGATTAAGGCTAGAGAATTTAGGCTGTAATTCTGATGTGTGGGTTGTGTGTTGAATTTATGCTGCATATCCTGTATGGCTCATCTACTTGTGCTCCATACGTCTGGCCCATCTACTAACAGGGATAGTAGGTATCTGATAATCCAGTGAAAAGAGAAAAATTAAGTGAAATGATTTTGCAAAAAAACCCTTTAATTTACTGTACTAGAAAATGGCAGATGGTAATTTCTAAGGTTATTTTATTTATGCAGAGAAAAAATATTTATGGATGTTTTAAAGTACAACAGAGGAAGGAGGATGAGCAATAACATAATTATTTTACTTCCAAAAATTCACTCCAGTAAAAAAATACGGATTTGTTTACAGCCAAAAGATACTGCAGTTTTGGCCTGATAAGTAGTTTCTTCTCAAATAAGCCACAAACTAGGTTAATCTGTTGGTGCTAGTCAGAAAGATTTATTGTCAGAGCTTTGAGGAAATTTATGCAAAGACCATAAAGGTTAAGGAAAAAAAAAAAAGTTTTTGAAACCAGCCTTGCTCTTGCATTCTCTCTCAGCATGCAGGATCCAAGGAACCAACCATTCCAAAATACTTTTATCTTGAACAGCTGCAAGAAGAATTTAACTGTTACTGAAGAAGGTATTAGCAGTATAAATGCTTCCAGCTGTTGCAGTTTACAACTTTAAGTAGTTTAACTTCTCTTATTTTGAAGTAGCTCTGTTTATAGAGGGATACCACATTAAATATTTCAGGAATTTAGTATTTAGTCTTTGTTTTAACTTATATGTGACAAATTATACTGACTTTAATCTCTGACTTTTTTTATCTCTTCTGAATTCAGTTTTCCTGTTCTTTTATATGTTTATATAGCGAGGAATTTAGTTCACTATCAATTTAGGTGCTACCTTCTTTATTTCCTACTTTGAAGAGATTTGGATTAACTGAAATTAGAAGCATTTTACGTATATTAGTTAACAGTACAAATTATGTGATCCAAATCCAATGAGAAATTTATTATAACTTGCAAAATTTTACTCACAGTTATTAAGGCTAGATACTATAATACTTTAAACAAAATAAACCATTTCCCCCTTAGGTGTCCTTAAAGCGAAGCCCTGGGGAAAAACTTTACAATGTAATTGAAAAGTAACATTTTTATTAGATACTGCATCTACCATGCTGATTTTCGTAGACTAGAAGACTTCTCACGCGTTCCTTATGGACAGAACTGTATATCCCATGAGACACTGTGAGCCCTTGTGCTGAGCTGCCACAGTTTATCATGACAGATGACGCAAGGGTTAGCAAAGGCAGTGGCACTAAAGAAGTATGGACATCGTTCCATTTAAACTGTTTCTGGTTTGGGGAAAAAACTGTGTTTTCTTTAAATGTTGAACTTTTCAGTTGCAATTAGAAATTTATGAAGAAACCTGACATTTCTTTGAAATAATTTTGTTGTTGAAATTCTGGCTTGACTTTCTTCAACAAACCAACTGATAGGAACTTCTATCTTTTCCTTCATTAAGAAGCCTTATAGCTCCTCTTTCAGTTAGTCCTTTAAAGAATTTGATATCATGATGAAATGTTCCACCCCTAGAAGAGTTGCCCTAAAAATTAGTTATTCAGAATGTTTTATTTCTGTCATGTGCATCCAGTTTAAATTTATCAACATTCAACTTCCTGGAATTGTTTCTTGGTATACCTGTATCTCCTTCTTTAGGACTACATACTAAATATGTTCCTGTTATGCAGATAGTGATAGGCTATCAGTAACACTGTATTTATAATGTTAAATTGACTTCAGCCTGTCTAGAATGAAAATTTTCTTGTCAGTTTTTATTGCAACTCTTCTAAAGCTTTCTATCTAAATTAATAAGGTTTTTTAAAATAATTTTTTTATAGCACTCTGTCTTTATGCCAAGATTAGCAATGAAATTATTGATTCTTAAATGCTTTCATGTAGAGGATGAGTTTATTCTGTGATTTATTAGCTTTTGAGGTCTATTTTGTAGAGATTTTTCTGTAGTTCCCTGCCAGTTTTTGTGTTTTTCTTTATTACTGCTGTAGGGTCGGAAAAAAATTGTGTAGGTTCCCAAATCATACAATGAACTCAGACAGAAATAAGGCCTGTGATAACAAGTGGTATAAACAACTGACACAAATATTGATAATGAGGTGTAAACAACTGACATAAAATATATTGATAATACGAGGTACCTGTTTCTCAATTCTTGCCTTTGTAGCATGCCTTTGTAGCATGGTGACCTTTTGAAAACTCATTTCCTGAATAACTGTTTCCAGTTATTATCATTATAGGCATTATGAAATTATTTTAGACTATTCTTGTAAGCATATGTACCCACATAGGTGCTGCACTATCAGTGACAGTTGTGCACAGGGCTTTTCATTGGGTGCTTACTTGAGTAGATGTAGATTTAAAATACTCTAATAATTCCAAAGAAATGTATGATTGCACATGCAGATGCCAGAAGCAGCAGCTAGCTGAGTCACCTACTCATTTGTTGAATATCTTATGAGTAAACTGCCAGGTAAAAGAGGTAGCTGAAATGTTTCAGTAGGTGGCAGAAAAACACTAGTGTTGCAATGAAGAAAAATGTTGCTTTACCTATGTAACCAGAACCTGACATCTCTGCCTTTATATTTTAGTTTTGATCTTCTTTCTCTTCTTTGAGCTGTAGATCCCTTGTCCAGACTTACATCTTGATGTTTTTCTGTCTTGACAACAACCTTTTCTTATACTGCTGTATTACTGTTCTCCAGTTAGTTCAAAATCTGCCATCAGAGGAAACTTTTCAAGTGCTTTGATGCAAAGTAGACAGCTTCTCTTTCCTGGTGCTCAGAGAAGATTTAGAGCTGGTGAAATGAGAAAGTGTTGACACCACATGTGAGAACCCTTCATGTGATACAGATGTTCCTCTCGGATACTGTGACTATAATTTGGAGGAGTTATTTTGCTGGTTTGTATGTTGGTTTTGTTTGTTTGTTTTGATGGTGTTTTTTTATTTATTTACTAGACGTCATTTTTGTATCAGTTTAAAAAGATGAACTCTGAGTTTAGGACTCTCAAGTCTTTGATCTGCAAAGCACCTTCTTTCATCCAACAGTGTTTATTAGTTCAAAGTGCAAAGCTGTATGAAGATGATGCATCTGACTTCCAAGGGCTTTGGAAATGATTCAACTGCATCAGCATTGTGCTGCATTTTGAGCTGAGAAAACTGGCTAGATCCATACTAGCATGTGAGGAAGCAGTTTTGGTATCTATACCTGCAGCACTGTTAGTTGTTACTTTTTCTATCTGCCAACAAATAGTTTTAATTTTGTGTTTTCAATTCTATCATCTTTCTTTGCATTTTGATAGGACATGTTTTAAGTGTTGCAGTGGCTACTCATATGAGAAAGAATTGTGTTGGCTAAGTTACAATTCTGTTCTCAGCTCCTCTGGAGAAATTGAAAGTAATACAAAATAAATAGAAAGTGATCCTATAGTGTTCACAAAAATCTGTAGGAGGTTTGGTTGTTATAAAAGCAGGGTGATGAGATTTTAAATTTTCAGAGTAATGATATTCTACAGTGTCCAGTAGTACATTGTAACAACTGCAGTGGGTATTTATTGTTTGTGAGTACTCTTTGTGTCTTTTTATGCCTTAGAGCTGATGTGAAAACAGGCCTCCACTTTGTTACTGTGATTCCAAAATAGCCTTTTCCCAAAACTTTTTAAGGAAACACTTCTTTTGTCCATTTTGTGACTACAATGAAAGGTGGGGTCATGTTTCTCTCATGCTGAGGAGAGCATGAAGGCCCAAAGGAGGAATTGAAATGAAGCTTGTCTGAGCAACACAAAGAGTTCAGCAAATAGAAGGTTCAGTCACAGTACTTGAACTATTCAAGCTCCAAGCTTCTTCATTCAGACATAGCTGATGTCTATCATGAGAATGTACACTATAGGAAGTTTGGGAGAAAAGAGTGAATTAAGGGGTATTTGGAATGTAGCTCTGTTTGCAGTAAAGTATTTCATTGGCTTGTTTACAGATTCCTTTTATTTAAATTACCTTTGTTAATTTGAATAGGATCATGGAAAGTGAATTGCAGAATACTGGAGGTCTTGACATCATAGAACAGAATCGAGACTCTTAGGGACATTAAGTCCAACTGTAAAGCTAGCACTACCAAGTTAATTTAATTTTACAAGTTCCTTAGATTTTAATGTTTAAATGCACATTCGAAGATTTCTGTTCCATTTCTCTGAAACTAGAAGACTAGCAAAAGACTGTTTCCCAAGATGATTTGTTACAGGATGTGTCATCCTGGGCAGAGTCTGCTACTGTTCTTTTCTTGGTGTCCTTTTTCAGAATTTTGTGAGTAGAACCCTTTGAGGAAGATGTAAACAATTATTATTTCTTTTTATTTCATATGATATACTTTGAATCAAATGGATTTAGTACCTTAAATACCATCTCTTATACTACGATAAAGTGATTTTATGTAATACTGACCTATGCACAAAAATACATAGTTGTAGAGCATTTCATGTGACTATACTACAAAATTTACTTGGACACAGCTTCAATAAGGCACTTATTTCCTATAGAAGTGTGTGATGGACATAATTTTAAAGATAATACATTTTTAACTTGTTGCAAAAACCAAACGTCAACTATCACCCACTGAAAATAGTTTAAAATAAAATTTAAATAATAGAAATTGAATATCAGGTTTTAAGAATTGCAAAATAGGATGGATTAGTGCCTTGGAGCACCCAATGCTATTTACCTACATGATTTTCTTCTGTAATTGGGCTTTGAAGTTACATATCAAAGTAATTGGCATGTTCTAGTTTATAGGATGCTAAAAAGAAAGAGTTCTTCAAAGAGCATGTATTTTAAAAAGAAATGTAAAGCACAATTTCCAAGCAGAAGAAATAATAATTTGTGGTTTCAACAATGAAGAAAGAGGAGTTTTAGTAATGAAATACATTAAAGGTGCTGAATCCACCACAAGAGGTAGTAGATGTTTATTCTAACTTAAGTAAGTACGAGTTTATTTTTTAGCATCCAATTAAGAAAAACCCCAGAACTTGTGAAATTAGTCTTGACTCACGATTTAACACTGTAATTGATAACTTGCTGGTGCTGGCTATAGAAGGTAATCAGTAGAGTGTAATTTTTATCATAATTCCTGTAGATGGTTTTTAAATAAGGTGGATTGCGCTTCATTCACTACTATTTATTACGTGCATGCTTTATTTACATATATTTTATTTTTTGTAGTTCTTGTTTTCTTGACTTGTATCTTTAATACCTTATGGATCAAAAACACTGGATGAAAATTAGGTTGATATTTAGAGCACATAAGAAGTGAAAATTGTGTAATAAAGGTAAATGAGGTGGGAGATTACTGAAACAATCTGGTTTAAGTTCATTTAAATTCTTGCAAAGTAATTATTTGCTTTACAGAGAGGAAAAAAGTAAAATCCTTAATTGCTAGCTAAATACACAGTGCATGATTTGCTCTGATAGTCAAACCTGTGTATCAAATAAACATATAATGCAGTTCCAGGAGAGTTTTCAAGCTGAATTACACAAATCCTAGCAACTCTTTCCTCAAAGAGCTCTGCAGAAAGTGCATGGGGCAGAGGAAGAAGGAGATTCTGTTAAAAAAAACAGTATTTTGTATCTAGGAGAGGAATAGTGTTACAGAGAGGGGACAGAATTTCTGGCAAACAGTTTATTCCTTATGCA